TAAACGCTGAAATACATATTCACAATTATTATAAAAAATACTCTAATATTAAATCTATTCTCTTATTTTGTTATCCAAGTGTTTTTTGCTTTCATAAAAGACTATTGACATGTATGTTTCCTTATATTACCAAAACTTTTTACCATAAAACTTAACCACATTTAGCTATGTGGAAACTTGAGACACTATTCAAGGCGTTGATCTGGCAGCAGCTGAAAGTGCATTGCCAAACTCACAAAAAATATATATGAACAACCTGCTAAGAAGTGTTTCAACATTTGCAACAAAAACAATGAGCAAAAGCTAAAAGAACTTTAGTTCAAGAAGCATCAAGTGCAAGTGAAAGACATTCATGAATTTGAGAGTAAACTTTTAGAAGAAGCCAGAGACACTAAAAAGAGACTGTATATATGCAAACACACACACACACACACGCACACACATACATCCACTAGCATATATGCTAAAATTGCACTCTATGTGCAGGTGCTGACATTTCTATAGACAAATGCAGTTTAAATAAAAATAGTTGAGTGAGCACAAAGAAATTTCCATTCAGAATTACTATTTCTTTATTATATAAATATTTAAAGCACACAGAACTCGGCTTTACCTATGGCAAATTCACTCCAAATTTTGTATAAACTACAAATTGTTCACTTCAAGGTATTGTTTGTTCTCGCTTAAAGTTTAGAATACCCTAAGCAAGTGTCGAGAAAGTTAAGCAACTGCAGTTTGCTGGCGTGCGTATATGAAAAGTCTTATGTACACGCATACATATACACATATATGTATGTATGCATGCCTATAGATGTGTAAAGTTTGAGTGTGTTTGCTCTAAAAGTGAATTTGGGTTGCATGGCTCGCCGAGCGCCCAAAAACTGAACTGCCTGCAATAGCAGCTTTTGACTTTTGCCACCAGGAAAAAAAAAAAAAACACAAGGAAAGAAACCAATGAGAACAATGAAAATGTGAAAGGAAAACCAACTCTCTACTCATTAATTCTGCTTAAGAGCAGAGCAGAGCAGCGCCAAGGCTGGAGGCTGGAGGCTGGAGCTGGGGGAGCGCAAAGTAAGCGCAACTAAAGTTTTGGCCTGGTAATTTAAGTAACTTTGTCATTTGGGCGTCATACACACACACACACTCCCACACTAACCCACACGCACTATAACTGGAATGTCAACACACAAAGAGCAACACAATGCCAAGTGTATGCTCTGTGGATGGGTGGTACATGGGCGTGGCTGAATTAATATGCTCATGCTGTGACCTCGTCCAAGTGAAAAATCAATTTACCTCGCATCTCACACCCCCCAATAATGCCACACACACTGCATGCCACATGCCGCATGCCGCATGCCGCATGCCCCGCATAGCTTGCCGCTTTCTTATGCCATCAGCCAGTGACAACTTTTGCCGAAAAAGAAAAAAAAAAAAAACGCACACAAACTTTTTCGCCATTCTTATACTTCATTGGGGTTAAGTGATTAAATTTGCACCAAAAAAAAACTTTATTCTAGTGAGAGCTGAACGACTTGAAGTTACCCTGGCATGTCTAATACATTCATTATTTATTATTTTTATTCGTTTGACTCTTTATTTATTATATTTATTATTACTATTTACTATGAATAGCTAAATTGATTTTTCAAATTTTCAAAAGATTTATGAACTTTTTAAATTTTAAAACTAACTAACGCAATATTTTTTCGCAAAATTTTTGCAATATTTTTTCTGAGACGATCTTCTCTATTTAATCTTTTTTAAACCGAAATATAAACCTCTGCAAATGTTTAAAAGTTCATAAAATTTATTTCTTATTATTTTTTTTCCATTTTTTTAAATTGTTTTTTTTTTTTTTTTTATTAATTTTTATATATTTTTAATTTTTGTTTATATTTGTTTTTGTTTATTATTTTTTATTTTTTTATTATTTTTTATTTTTTAATTTTTTTTTCTAAATTATTTTTTTATTATTTTTTTATTAATTTTTTTTTCAATTTTTTGTAAGTGAAAAAGTAGCTAAGCTTTTAGTACTAATAAATTTCTCTTTTTGACGACTGAAATTAATTCATATTATTTCACAGCTGCAAAATTAAATAAAAAAAAAAAATAAGATGTGATATATTAATATCTGTTGCATTATAATAAACCGAAATATTATTTTTTTTAGTACAATAGTTAACTAAGCAGCGAGCGCAGAACTTGCTAGCTTTTTATAGTTCATCAGAATTTATGTAGCAAATTTTATGACCTGCGCGTTTTGTGGATAATTGAAATTGAAAAATATATTGAAAATTTGAAAGTTCGAAGCAGACTGAGAGCATAAGCTATATTCATCAAAATGAAATAAAATTCTTATCTGCGAGAAACACCTTCGGCGAGAATCAACATACCCCGAACACCCATTGGCAGAGGAGAGCGCACAAAAAGGCAGCTTGGCAGGAAACTTTGGCACATGTGACACTCGCCCCGAATGTCGCATAATTGTTGCCGAGTCTAAACTGAAACTTTGTTGCTGGCACAAAATTTGATTATTTTGATTATGATAACAAAAAGTTCTTCTTTTTTCCTACTTCTTTTCGGCAGTTGGGCAGTAGACGGGACATAGGCAAATCATTTGCCGGCAACTTTGAATGGCAATTTACCCTTTCGCCAGCTCCGAGGAATTGAGGGACTGTTGCTGCTGCTGCTCTGCTGCTGGCTGCCGGGCTGAATGCTTGTTGAGGCTATCAGTTGATAAGCAGGCGGCAGGGCCTATTGAAGCGGCAAATGCCAATGGTAATGGCAATAGGATCACAAAACAGGACCAAGCTCCGGCTCTTAATGTCGGGTCACTTTCGGACTTTGGGCCAAGTTAGCTGCGTCTTTTACTTGTTTTTTTTTTTTTGTTGCTGCTTCTTCTTTTTCCTTTTTGTCCTCGGGGCAGTTTGAGCTTAATATCCGTTGCCATTGTTGCTGCCGTTGTTGTTGTTGCTGTTGCTGTTGGCTGGTTTATTAGTAGTTCGTGCTGGATAGAGGCAGGGCCAGGCAGTATGCCAGCGACTGCTGTATGGCA